TTTATAATAAGTGCCAAGTAAAAGCACTAATATGCAAATATATGCCATCTCCAAATAGAAAATGTTCCAGAATTTAAATAGCATATGCTGGGCATATATTAGAAATTTCGTTCTTTCTATGTCCAGTTGCAATCATTATTAAAGAGGCTACCAATTCTTCCCTACTCAATTTTGTTTACACATTTTCAATTTTGAATTACATTTTGAATATTCAATTTACCTCTAAAGCTGAACTGACAAATTATTTGTCATCTTTAAATATTCACATTATATATTGAACTTGCCTCAGTTTGAGGACCAGAAGGTGGCCAGTGAATGAGGGAGGGTTTATCTGTCTTGAATGACTTGATATTCCTTGTCCTTTAATAAAGCTTCTTATAGTTTGGGAAAAGTGGGAGGAAAGGAGAAGGGAAATGGTAATTGACTTCCTAAGTGTTTTTACAGGGCTCTTGAAACCTGTTTTATTTTATTTTAATTTTTACTGGCATATTGAGCAAGTCCAATTAATTTAGTGAAAGCTGCACATTTATTTATTAGGGGGTACAAGGAAATGTGTTTCAGATCAAGAAGATTATGGTTATAGCTTTATATTTCTCAACTCTGCTAGTAGTGATTTAAAAAAATATGTTTCGTGGAAGTAAACAGATGAAAAGAATGGTGGCAATTGATATGTTTAAAAGGTTGATGATACAAGAGTATATGTTTAAGTCAATGTTGTATTTTGCTGTTTAGTGGATTAAATTAGTCCCAGACAATATTTTATTTGCCATAAATGGATTCAAAAGAAATATCTAGAGTGGGTGGGTGGGGAAATCTGCCTTTGGTGTCAAATCAAGTAGGCTCCATCACTCCAGCCTTCATTCAAAGGCAGACCAAGTCATTAGTTTGCTGCTATTACACCAGGCAGACAATTTATTGTTAAGTGCTTGTCAGAGGAGAAAAATCTGCTTTTCTAGCAGCTCTCAATGGCACTGACATTTACCCAGAGTAAATCTAGCACGGATAGGCTCAGAACCGTACTGCCTGACAGACGTGACATTTACGACTGCCATACTTTAACCAATATTGTGATGATAAGGTCTTGGATGTCCCAAGGAACTGGTGAAATATAATTTCAGACCTAATGGATAGTCTATTTACCTTTTCACTAAGGCCCAAGAAGAAATAAATTAAGGATCCTTCTTGGCTTCTTGGTGGGTCCTGGAAATAGGCAAATTAAATCTTCCTCCAGATTTCCCCCAGAGGTTAGGAAAAAGGAAAGGTTTTTAAAATTATTATTTTTGGAACCTATAAATAAGCAAGGCTAAGACCTGTAGACTACAGTTTACTCAGCATGCCATGAAAACAATTAGTTGATTTAAACAGCAGGAAAGAATGTGTTTCTGGAAGAAGGGTGTTTTCTGAAATTACATCAACAATGCCTTTTGTCTAGGACGTTTTTGAATGTTGTTTGCTGTTTTGCATGCTGTTTCACTAGAAAGCGGAATTGAGTTGTTGATGTTGTTGTTTTTAATAGGATGCATATTCTAGTCATTACAGTTCTCTCATTGATCCGGAGATGGAAAGAAACATAAACTGGTGTATACTAATAGTTATTCTGGACATAGAGCTGAGCATAGGACTGCACTGTTTTATAGAATACCACTTTTATGGAATACCAATCCGGTAGTTCTGTGAAGGGAAGGGAAGGGAAAGGAAAGGAAAGGAAAGGAAAGGAAAGGAAAGGAAAGGAAAGGAAAGGAAAGGAAAGGAGGGAGAATTGACCTATTTGTAAAGGTCTGGAGATGAACAAAATAACTAAGGTGGTACAAAGAAAAGACAATTAGAAATGTCTTATTATTGTTTTGCCCTAAATAAGTTATTTTATTTTATATTTATGAGTTATATATAAAATAATCTAGAAAATCAATCAAAAGATAGAAGAGCAATTAAATATTGAGGGAAAACAATCTCTAAAAAGTGAAAACTAACAGGAAATCATACTGCAAAGCCAGTACAGTAAAAAAAAAAAAAAAAAAAAAAAAAAAAAAAAAAAAAAAAAAAAAAAAAGGTAGTACAATGGACAATATCATAAAATTGTATGTGGTTGAGCAGGGAAAACCACTTAAGGTATACAGGAGTTTAAGGCACTAACATGACAGTTTTATTTGTTTATTTATTTGTACACCATGCATTCCAGGTGTCAGAGGATTAGAAATTCCAGGAGAATCCAGATGTGGGTTCAATTTGAAGATTGCTCATCTTTTCTACTCTTTTTATAGTTAAGATTACATCAGTCTGTGATTCTCTCTCTATCAGCCTTTACTCAAGGTAGGAGTCTTATCTGTGTCTCGTCCTCTAAACTTTTGTCCGCCTACTTCTTTATTATTATCTTCTTATCTGTTTGTGACCTTCTGCCATAAGTCCTTGGACTGCTTATCCTAGGAAATTGACTGACATTGAATGGTTCTATACAGACCTACTTTTAGACCTTCCAAAATAACATTGTTATGTTTGGATGCCTCAGCTTGGATGCCTCACATGTCATTCTGTCCCCATTCTGTATGGCTGCATTTTTCTGCTTTAGTATGCAAAATACAAAAACAAACAAACAAACAAATATATAAATAAATGGATAGATGGACACCTGCTTGCATTAGGCTGCATCTGGAGCTTTCAATTCTGAGCTACAACACTTTTTGGGTGAGTGTCGGAAGCTGCCATCTGCACCTGCTCTAAGTTCTCAAAACTTGAAATACAAATAATATCAGGCAGTCTCCGAATTGCTTTTTATACAACACTTGTTTTGATAAACACAAGGTCGGATAAAATAAAATTCAACAGCTGACTCAACATGATTGGTAAGTCAGACACCTTCTGTCTTTGGGGAAATTAAATCTGTGTGCAGCAGTGTGCTTATAGGCCAGGCTTACTGCTCAGACTGCAAGAGAGTCCATAACGCTTGGTAATACTGGATTCTGGATACAGTGAAGAGCCCCAGATTGAATGAATTCCCAAATCCCAAACCCAGTTTTATCATGCTTCGCATGAACTCTGCAGTCTCTCTTTCCTGGGCATTGAGTAATAACTTTCATACTGGCTATTGTGCACTTGCATCCCATTATACAACAATTTGGAAACTTTTGTAACAAGAGGATTTGCTGAATGCAGTTGGAGCTTAGCCCATTACCTGGCTGTCTGCCAGGTTTTTCAGTAGAGCTCCTTTGAGTTGTGAAGTCAGAACTTTGCTGATAGGGATGGTGAAGGCATGTGCATAACATGAAAACTTTGGACTTAATGAGACTGGCTGAACTTAGTGAACAGTTTCAACCCTATGGCCTTAATACAGCTCCTTCCCTCAGCCTCTGTCAGACAGTGAATAGATTTGTATGCAGTTTTTCTGACCCCCACCTGGTACTCCTTCCTTCTTGTATCTATGTATTTACCGGTCTGTTTTCTTATTCATGAGTTTCAGATGCATCATTGTTGACTGGCTGTCATCCCAGCTCCAGGGCTATTCTTTGCAACAGAAGCAATCTGAGAAGCAGCTAACATTTAAACAATATCTACATATTCTGTATACTAGCAGGTGTCAAAAATGTGTTTCAGTTCATTCATTCATACATTCTGTTACCATAAATGACTCCATTTCTCCACCTAGAACCAAACAGGGATTTGAACACCATCTTTAGTTAAAATTCATTTTCAGGCTTGTGAAATAATAAGTTCAACAGCTCAAAACAACCCCCAAATTCTTGAAAAAAACATGCAAATAAAAGGTGTGCAGTTTTGACAAATGTGAAACAACAATCTGTTAAATGATGAGGAAAACGCATATTTTGCAAAATTCACATAATTCACACATGTATTTGAGGAAATATGCATGAAATTACATACAAATTTTCATGCAAAAGAGAGTAAAATGCTCCAATTCTGATTAAAACATGTTTCTGAATGAAGATTGAGATGGAACTCAGAAAAACTTGCCAAGCTATTTTTTCCCTAATTTAAGAATGCTTTTAATTTAACCATGCCTTCTGCTCATGCCTTCCCAATTTTCCTATGAAAATGCCAAGCCCTGTCTGAATGGCTCCCTTCAAGACTGTGTTGTGGAAACCAGGTTCCCAGAATGACAAATGTGGTGATCTTTCAAAAGCACAACTTTATTCAGTCTGCAGTGGATTCATCCTTTGCCCCCTTGAGGACTTAACCAGCACTTCCTCCCTTGGGTCTTTCCAGTACTGCTGCCTGTGAATGCTTGAATCTGAGTGGGGCTTCCTCTGCTTCTACAAACAAGTGAACACCTCGATCAGCTTTCAGACACTCAGAAGGAAGCATAACTGGAGAGCCCCAAAAGAAGAAGTTCTTCAGGGACAATTCTGCATAGGTTTAGACAGAGAACAAAGTCCTACAACCCCCAGCATTTCTGAATCATTGTGGAAGCATGGAGACTACTGAGGCCTTTTTCAAGCTAAATATTTGTAGGCTTGTGTCCTTATGGTACTTCTTAGAAAACGCGAAGACTGCAAAGACAAAATGGGGTACAATGGCAGAATAGTAAGTGTGCACACACATGAACACAAAGTTATCAGTTTTAGAATACATGGTGAATTGATTTCTCAGTTCCTGGCATCCTAAAGCACCATCCCAAATTCCTGGGAACTTTGAAAATATATTTATTTCCAGGGCAATTGAGTCTATAGGACAGATATTGGATCCCTTGTTCTCCTGTTTTCCTGGGATATTTTCTCCAAGGGCAATGCTAGATACATTTATGTTGTTGTATCTAGGGCTGGAAGAAAGTGGAACATAATGCTTCCAGAAGACTCCAAGTCTATATTTTGGATTGAAGCATCCTGGAAAATTACATTTCCCAAGATCTTTACTGTCTTTAGTGCCTAAGGGGTGATGCGAATTGGAGACTTCTCAGAGAGATGACATATGATTATCATCATGATGAGGTAAGTGAGAAGGGAAAGTTTGGCAAGGGGCAGTGGGGCTGTTAATAGTGAGAGACTCACAGGGATGGTTTGGGGACTCACAGAAGAAGTATGGGAGAGCTGATGGATACACCTTGAAGGATGACAGTATCATGGAAGAGCCTGCAAACATCTATGAATGAGAACTCAGTGGCATGCAAAAAATGTAGAGAAGTCCTGGTAGTCATCTTCTGCCACTGCCGCCTCCATTTCATGATTCACAATTCTTTCTACATGCTTGAGATTTAGAGAGTACGACCAGCGGAAGCACCACCCCATTTCCCTGATGGAGGAAAGCTTAGGACAGACAAGAATAAATAATTATTCACATAACATATAGTTGAACATTATTGCATAATACATTAAGGTATAGTACATTATTCACATGATGTGTAGTTAAATTCACTGTCATGCGAAGCAGTGATGGCCACCAGTCTGGATGGCTTTGAAAGGGGATCTGACAGATTTATGGAGGAGATAGCTATGAGTAGCTACTAACCTTGCTGACTATGTGCTACCTCCTTTACCAGAGGTGTCATGCTTGCATGCACCAGCTCCTGTGGAGCTTGGGCAGGAAGGGGTCTTGCACCCACCCTGCTTGGGGGATCTTGTGGGCAGCTGACTTGCCATCATGTGTATAGACTGCTGGATTGGATGGACCTTTGGTCTGATCCATAATGGATTTTCTCTGTTATGTTCATTTTAAATTGGCAGAATTCATGGCACTATCATGTCCACAGGAAAAAATGGAGATTGCTTCTGCAGTCTTGAGACTGAACACATTTTCTTGGGAATAAGTACCATGTTATTGTAGAAAAATATAAAGTAAATAAAATGAGCCTCTGTAAACAGAGCGAGTCAGAAGGGGTCTCCCGGGCCATCTAGTCTGACCTCCGGCACCAGCCAGCTCCACTCACGACATGCCCACCATGTGGACGCCCAGCCTATCCTTGAACACCTGCACCAATGGGGCCGCAACAACCTCTCATGGAAGCCCATTCCACACCCTCAGGGTCATGACTGTCAGGAAGTGGTTCCTGGCATCCAAATGGAACCTTGGCTCCCTGAGCTTTGCTCCATTGGAGCGTGTCCTGCCTTCCTCTGCACGGGAGAACAGGTCTCTGCCCATCTCCATGTGACATCCCCTCACATACCTGTATGTCGCCAACATATCCCCTCTGAGTCTCCTCTTCTCCAGGCTGAAGAGACCCAGTTCCCTCAGTCTCACCTCTTA